ACCCTACGATTTTAACCAGGTACTAAGCCTCACTGTCAACCATGCTTGGCTCAACTATTGACGGTGATCTCGATTCGCAGTGGGCGCATATCAAAGATGCGTTAGTTTCCGCCAGTATCGACACTTGTGGACTTACCCGTTACCCACCGAAACATTGGATTTCCGCCGACTCCTTGTCGCTGATGGACAGACGCCGCTTGATCCCATCGGATTGCAGACACAGTGAGGAACGCCAATACCTTGGTCGAGAGTTGCGCAGGAGTCTGCAAATGGACCACGAAGCTCGGTGGTGTGAACGTGCTAGGGAGATGGAGCTTGCTAGTCTCTCTGGTAATACCAAGAAACTCTTCCATCTCATTCGAGTCACCGAAGGTGTTCGATCTGGTATAAGTGAAACAATATGCGAAGAGGATGGCACCTTAATCACCAATCTTCAAAGACGGTTCGAGCGATGGGCCGAACATTTTGGCTCGCAGTTTTGTTGGCCCCGAGCTCCACCTGCTACCTCTGGCGCTCGCGCTGGGACCGAGTGGTCTACCCCAACAGACCCTCCCTCTTCCCAGGAAATCGAGCAGGAGCTCCGGCACATGAAGCGTTATAAAGCCCCCGGCCCTGATGGTCTTCCTCCAGCTCTATTTAAAGATGGTGGGGCTTCGCTGGTCCGAGAACTCACCGCTTTGTTCTCGAAAATTTGGTCGAAAGGGAAAGTTCCATCATCTTGGGGTGAATCGATAGTCGTCCCCATCTTCAAAAAGGGCCTGCGCACAATCTGCTCCAACTACAGAGGAATAAGCTTAGTCCCCGTCGTTTGCAAACTGCTGGTGTCCATCACACTTCGCAGGCTATCCCCAACACGCGAATCGTTGCAACGAGAAGAACAAGCTGGGTTTCGCTCTGGTCGCGGCTGCATCGATCAAATCTTCACACTTCGCCAGATCCTCGAGCTCCGCCATGTGTATCAGAGGCCAACGATTGCTGTGTTCCTGGATATCCGTGCAGCCTTCGATTCTGTCGATCGTACAGTACTGTGGCACTGCCTACTGAGAAATGGTGTCCCCGAGAAGTTCGTCTCCATACTGCGCGCTCTATATAGTCTGACCTCGGGCAGGGTTAGGGCTTATGGCATGCTTTCGCCTACCTTTGTGGTCTCCAGTGGAGTTCGACAAGGATGCCCTATCTCTCCATTCGTATACAACTTTGCCAATGAGGATGTCCTGAAGAACGCTCTGGACGATTCGTTAAACGCTAGCGTTAAGCTCCTCCCAGGTAGCCGAGTTGTTGATTTGGATTATGCTGATGACATCGTCTTGATGAGTGACGATCCACAGGTCGTCCAACTTGCATTAAACCGCTTGGCGATTGAAGCATCAAAGTACGGTATGTACTTTTCGCCATCCAAATGCAAGGCTCTCCTTCAAGACTGACAGGTGCCTCTGCCTGCACTGACGCTTGCTGGTGAGACACTAGAGGTTGTGGAGAGCTTTTTCTACTTGGGAAGCTGCATCACTGCTGGCGGGGCTGTTGGAGACGAGATTTCGATGCGCATCTCGAGAGCAGGCCTCGCTTTTTCTAGGCAGAGGCATTTGTAGCGTCGCCACGACATTCGTCTCCCCATCAAAGGGCGGGTCTATTGTGCAACTGTTTGTGCTGTACTGTTGTACGGATGCGAGATCTGGCCCATTCGTAAAGATGACTTGCGCAGGCTATCCGTCTTCGAGCACCGCTGTCTGCGGTCCATTGCCCGTGTGTGGTGGCAGCACCACGTAAGCAATTTGGAAGTTAGATAGCGTGCCTTGGGACGTGGAAGCCACTCACTCGAGGAGTTCATCTCACTGCATCAACTGCGGTGGTTGGGACACGTATTGCGCATGCTTGTTCAGCGTTACCCCCGTCGTGCATTGTTTACACTTGCTGGACAGGGCTGGAAGAGACGGTCTGATGGACAGCCTACAACATGGAGAAGCCACATGAAAAGGCTGACGAAATAGTTGGCCTCGGCCGGTTGTTGTCGACTACCTGGTTGGGGTCCGAGAGATGAGGACACTTGCTGGTTGAAGACCTTGGAAGTTATGGCTCAAGATCGATGTCAATGGCGGACGTGTGCGTCGGTTTGTTGCGGTGTCCCTTCTTCCCCCCGCCCCCTAAAAAAAAGAACAAACTGGAAAAAAAGTTCCAAAAACTGTGAGCGGTAAAATAGACAAAAAAGCATTTGTTGCTGCTCTTTTCTTATTATTCATATTGTTCTCCTATTCAGCCATGATTCCGAAGACACAATATCTGTACCCCAGACTGTGTATAATATATATATATATATATATATATATATATATATATATATATCCAGATGATTGGCTGTTGCTTGATATCCCCGGTGTGACTGCGCTTGATGTGCATGTTGACAAGGTGCCTACCTGTATATTACCCACTAGATCGTCCATACTGGTTTCAGGAGACTGTTGGTCGTTGCTGGAGGGAACGGGGTGCACGGTCTATGTGGCCGTGCTAAGCTCGAAGAGTGGTTTCATGCACTCAGTGTGGAGCGGACTACGGTCTAGCCACCGCCTTGTGTGCGCTTGATTTCCCAAATACAGTGTGCTTGTGTTTGCCTGTGAAGGAGTGTGCGCCGGCTCCGTTGATGAAACGTGGCTCCCATCCACATGCCTCCCAGTCTTGTTCCTTCGAGTTTACACTGGATATGGGGTGTGGGTGGAGCTGTGGGTGGTGCAGCGCAAGCCATCCATGGTCCCTCTGTAGGCGCAGGCGTCCTGTGGCTGGCCACAGTGACAGTCAAATCCGAAACCGGATGCCGCAACCTTGGCACTCTCGTGGTCCGGTTCCAAATGATAAGTAGTTAGAGAAAGTGATAGTAAAAAGTCTCACATTGGCATGTTTCTGTTCGTACTGTTTCACCTCCATTTCAGCTATGACGTCGATGTTGTCAACAGAGGCGCTCATCTTTAGTGGCTTTGACCACCTGGTCACTTTAGTTAGGGTTCCAAGCCCAGCGAGAGTGTTGATACAGTCCGTCAGCAACTATGGGGTGAGAAACGTAGACAGCCAAAGGAGATCGCCACATTCAGCCAGTTAAATGGCAATCATCACATGTGCCGAACCTAACGGAAAGGATTTCCATCATAACTCCGTAGTGACTACCCAATTTACCCTCGGGGCTGCTCCTGAAATGTATGCATTAAGTCCACTTCTGTCGATCGTTTGTGGACAGCACGCTTCGGTGACGTGGCGGCGATAGAAGAAAAGCGACCGAACGGATGGGTTGAGTTGGTCACAAACACAAACGGAAGCGTTACCTAGCACAGCATTGAAGGTATGTAGCTGGTAACCACACAAAACGAAGCTTTGCTCGCTTTCAAGTTTATGAGGAAACTCAATCGCTCCTTGTTTTTACAATACTAGGTTCTGTTCACGGAGGCTCATCACCTATGAACTGGGCATGAAAATACAGCGAAACCCTTATTCACATGGCCTTGATAACGTGCACCACAGAGAAAAGAGAAGCGGAGGTTACAAGTGAGACTTTACCCCAGTAGAGAGCGCCTGAGCACATTTCCGAGCATACAAACAGCTTAGTTTGACAATCCCCTTTCGGATGAAACGGGCCTTAATTTGCAATCCCATGCGAAAAATGTCAAAGTAAGAATGGTAGTCCCATCGAATGGATGCATAGGGACAATGTGTCGAGACTAAGAACACTTTGGGAGAAGAATTTCTGTCAATGTAGTCACCACGATGCAACGTAGTGAGGATCGAAGACTCGTGACAAATTACCACACGCCATACCTCTGCGGTAACGCGGTCGACTGAGGATCAAAAAACAACAGCGAACGAAAAGTGCCATGAAACGGGGGGGGGCGAGAAAGTAAAAAAATGCAGGCGGAGAAGGACTCGAACTGTGGTGTTTGCACGCTTATCCACACTCCGCCCTATACACACCAGACAGGAAGCCTTTAAGCGTCCCAGTGGATATTCTGACGGGTGCGAACAAAGACACATTGGTCGTTCGGTAGTAGAATCGGATTAAACAAGACTCAATTGGAAGTTAAGAGATTGTCCAAACTCGATGTGTTAAAATGAAGGGAGTCAGCAGGCGATATTTTGTCTCTACGGTGATCAACTACTTCCCACATCAAAAGCGGGGATAACTCGCAAAGATGCTAATATGAAACGATACCCTGTACTACCGACGCATGCGAGCACATTCAGAAATAGGTAGATTACGACAGCGAAAATCGTTCAGGGCGCAATGTGAGAAGCCACCGAAAAAAATCGGACAATTCGATTTCGCAGATCTGCCTCCATTCAATTTAGCAGTGTTAGAAGTCGGGTGACTAGGAAGAGAGCCAATTAAATCGCGAGGCGATGAGAACCAACTAATGAGAATACACGACCTCTATGGTCGACGAATGAGAGGGAAGGATAAGCTCAGGTAATTCAGCAGGGTCTCGTATTCAGTATTCCACGCGGAACTCATTTATAGGAATATAACGTACATCGCTGACTGTTACTCTACTCAATGGTAACATCTTCCTCTGTGACTATGAAGAGTTGGTTAAGCCGCATTCCGCAGCGGTCGTAAACGGAGACGTACATCGTCAGCAGCAACACAGGCAATGCTCTCGGTTGGTACAACGGTTCAGGATTAGGTGACCATGAATGTGTCGACATAAGCTGAAGTATGCGGAACAAACGAAATACGTAAGGCTATAATATTCCATAGCGACGCGTGTCAGCTTGACCGTTACGTCATCAGCTCAGAACCAAGCTAGTTGAAAATTCGAGTATGAACAAAACTGGCCGTCGCCAAAAGGTGCAGAATGTGGAAAAAATTCAAATTGCTTGCGGCATGCATACTGATGCACTTAGCCGGGAAATGTGGCACATCTCAGAGTGGCATATCGATAGACAGCGTGCTTCGTCTTTTGCTTTTAGTTCGGAATCATGGAACATAGTATACTACTGCGTGCTCCGAGTCAAATATTTACCTGAGAAATACCGAGATTCGTTTCTGTGCAACTCCCAACAAGTGCAATTGATGGATGGAATCACGGGACCAGGATGGATGATGGTGTGGGGAAACATCAATACCAGCGTCATCGGAGAAGGAGACCGTTCTATGCTCCGACGGGAAAAGAGAGGATGTTCTATTAAATGCATCCAAGGAGACCGGAATGGAAATTGAAGCAGCTGCAACAGAGGGAGGTTGTTGGGGTGGCGGCAGCGAGGCCATGATATCGTCCAACTCTGAAGAACACGAAGAACTAGCTGTGGCGAGGAGCTGCTCCTCACCAAAAAGGCCAAACAGACCGCCAGGAATGGCTAGAAGGAGTTTCTTGGCCACATTAGCCACGGTGTATACATTGTAGCTGCTCCAATCGATTGGTTGCCCTGCGGTGAAGCATTCCAGAATTTGCTGCAGGAAGGGGATGAAAAGACGGATTCGTTTGGCGATCAGTTCAGAAAGACGCGGGTAATACGCACGTGAGACCACAATCAGCTTGATTCGAAATGCAAACAGGAGTAAAGACTATTGGGGGCTCAGCGCACCACCCACAAATACAGAAATGAGAGAAAGACCACGTGAGCCGAATCTCAAAACAAGGAACGATCCGATAAAGGTAAGGCCGCCGAGACAATAAGGATGGGACAAAATGTGGCAAAATATAAGGCGAGCTGGGGAATCGTATTTTGTGCTCAATGGAGCATGCAGTGAATGTGAGCAGTGGGCGACGTACGTCAGGTAAGTACTTGGATCCAACGGTACCTAGACGTGAAGTCTGCTGTCCTCAGACGGAAATATGAGCATCATGCAGCCACCTCCAGCCCAATCTTATATAGGAGGAAGGTGCATGATGGGGCAAACGCGTGGATGACGTGAGCAGCAAGCGATCGAGCCATTACAGTTGACGTAGCGAAATGAGACGTATATCAGGTAGACATTGAGTGTTGCCAGATCGAAAACATTGCACTTTACGGCGTGTTTCGACCTTATTTGATATTGGCAGATAGAGATAGCAGGCATCGAACGCAAGACGATTGGAATGCTAGTTGTAGCCGCCTCCTCTAAGCTACCGGGTCGCGACGCCTGCAGTCACTAGGTAACGAGATCAAATAAGGTCAAAACGCGTCATGGAGTGCAGTGATTTAGGGCGGGCAAAATCCAGTATCTAAGTGCCTCATCATCATTTAGGGTCCCAGTGATCGATCTGGCCAAGGTCTACTTTAAAAGGAAATCGCAGTTCGCACTGAGATGGTACGACGTAAACCATTAGCACAACGCTGACCAGCCGACTTTCCAGGCTAGAAGATAAAGACCTCAGGAAAAAAACTGTACTGAACACTCGGCAAGCAGTTTAGGCAAATCAAATTATGGTGTCGAATCAATAGTGAATAAAGGAATGGCCTAGCGCTCACTGGCAGGCTACAAGGTAAACCATCCCCAATGGCAGCGTCCAAAGTGAAGCGTCATCATTAGCCTGCTCTCATTTGTTGGTCAATAAGATTCGGTCTGCGCCATGGTCAACTGTGCCGGGCAGATGCAAAGAAGTGGCTTCTCCGTCGACAACGTTCCCGCGACAATTAACAAACAAGTTCCTTCTAGGATCCAGCTGCATTCTGATGACGGATCTCCGTACGTGATCAGTCCGGCACCGTGGATGTATTTTCGGCCCTTCTGGAACTTCTGTGCGAGGTGCATCCGCAGCTTCCTGAACGTTTGATGGCATATCGAAACTATCCAGTAGAATATCGAGAGGTAGCAGTCGATTATTAGTGCTTGACTGGATGCCAGTTGGTCGCAGCTGATTGGCATGCCTAATCCAAATCAAATTACCCACGCTGACCCCACAAAGAACCCAACCAAGTCTTCACCGGATCGATCCAATCACCCACTGAGGACTTCCCATGCGATAATATCTGACCAAAACATGCTGTCCTGGAGAAAATTGACGTGATTGAGTTCTGTGTCGCTCGTTGCAGTACTTTTCCATTCGAGGGTGCCTTTCTTGTGGCATAGTACGCCTCGGGAGCAGAAAGGAATTTACAGTACGGAGCTTTCCTTCCATTAATGCCACTGCTGGCGACAATGAACTTTGTACCTGAGGGTTTGAGGTGGATCTATACGCTAGCAGGAATGCCCCCAGTATCTCTCGCGTATTTCCTTCTCCCCACATCTGCAGTATCGATCGCTTAAACGTGTCGACGAAACGTTCTGCTTGCCCGTCTGACTGGGGATGATACGGCGAAGAGTGTAAATGCGTGATGCCAATGTTTGCGCAAAACGGAAAACCGGGAACTAGTGAACTGTGAACCATTGTCAGTGATTAATGTTTTAATTAATCCGTACTGATGGAAAAGTCTAGTTGGAAAGTTAATTGTTACACCACTTGTTGTACGATCCTTTCAGAAGAGTACAAGACACTTGCTGAAGGAGTCAACAATGACCAGATACTTCTGACCATTCGCAAGGCCAAAGAACTCAGTGTGAACTCGTTCCCACGGCTTTGTTGCCAAAGGCCAGGAAGCTAATTCGGCCTTTCTGTGTGCCTTTGGCTTGTGTAGCTGAGCACTGTCATAGATCGGGTTGATGAAAATATCTAAAAGGTTGAAGCGCACCATGCAATCTAGCCCAAGAAGATTCAAGTTCTCGTGACTTGTGACGAAGATATTTCCCCAAGCGGTGATATCAGCAAAGCGACATTCATACTCAATCTGACGGATCAGATACGGATTGGTGCATGATGCGCTCGTCGCTTGTTGCTCGGTCGGTTTAGTGTCGTGTGCATCAACAGGTTTCCACAAGTTCTCCGAAATGATCATGATGTCAGACGCCGTGTCATGTTGCAAACACGCCAGTCGCCCGATGATTCTATTAGTGAGAAACTTTCTTCTGTCTTTAACAACGTCGGAGAAGTTGGTGTTTACATTTCTCGCAGACTTGACGCGGCCTTATCTTCGGATAGTGTATGCTGGCCTGAACAGCAGTTTGGAACTGCAGTGGATCTCCATGTGTCCATGTCTATGGGACTTGTGGCAGATGTGATTGCTGAAGTGGCACCATCTCACAAAATGCCAACCTTCGCATTGCCAATAAACAGATGGGAGTTTAGCTTGTGGACAACTCTTGTGCTCATTTGCTAAGGTGTTGCTTCTGGAAACTTGCTGGACAGTAATATCACCAACATGCACCTTTGAACCCTCCACCATAGCTGTGTCCTGATTTAAATTCATGATCCTCTGAGCTTCAGCAACAATATTTTGTAATGTGACATCCGGATCGCGTTCCAACATCCCAAGTATTCTCGTCTGGATTTCGGCATCTTGGGGGGACTGCAAACTGCACACTAAGATCGGACACTCGAACTGACCTTCTGGCATCCACAATTTACTGTCGCTGCATGAGCAATACACGTGTCACTGTCTTTCTTGCAAAGTTTCGAAAAATTGTACCGAGTATTGAAAAGCGAGGACTGGTCTCCAAACATTACTATCATCAAAACTTAAATCATGGGCGTACTTCGCAAAACGCAGTTGAGACATCTATCATGCTCGACCGTTCCCAGTTTTCGCAACAGCAGACGAACTTTTGATGCATCATCGAGACTTGACAACTCTGTCCTGAAAACATCTTCATAGCGCCTGAACCAAGCATCGAATATTAGTCCTGAATCAGGATCAAAAATGAACTCACTAACGCTGCTGATCACTGCGTCCGCTGAAGGCTTCCCAGTATTCTGGAGGTGTGGACTGAAGAGATAACGTTCGGGTGAGAGTCTCAATCATTTACAGCTGTGCCGCTTCAAATGGCTGCTGCCGTTGCAACAAAATAGCCTTCAGGTCTTCTGTCACCAAAATTTGCCGTGTGTTTCGCTGGTTGTACGGATAACCTGCTGTTATCGCTCAAGCTGACCAGCCGAATTTCCAGGCTAGAAGACAAAGACTTCAGGCAAAAACTGTATTGAGCACTCGGCAAGCAGTGTAGACAAATCAAATTAGGGGGTCGAATCAATAGTGAATAAAGGAATGGCCTAGCGCTTACTGGCGGGCTTCAGGATAAACCATCCTCATTAACAGCGTTCAAGGTGAAGCGTCGTCATTAGATTGATCTCACTGATTGGCAAGTAAGCTTCGGTCTGCGTCATGGTCAAGTGTTCCGGGCTGCTAGCAGACGGAGTGCCTGCTCCCTTAACACTCACTTTCTCGCTGCGAACATGTGCCGCTAGGGAACACGAGCAATCCTGCTCAGATAACCAATGTCGACGGCAGAGACAAGGTGCATGTCGTCCAAGCGAAGCGGTTAGGACTTTTTTCATCCAACATCGCCGCTCGAACAGAGGCATTGCAAAGCCGGTCCTCTAATGAGAGAACAACGCATTGCGACGCAGTCACATACGGGCCAACTCCAAGCGGACCTAGGTGATGCGAATAAAAAGTCTCCTTTTCAATAGAGCCACCAGCAGAACCACCACCAGAGACGCATCAAACTATCCACCAGACCAAGCTGTGTACCTTCAAAAGTGAGTACGAGAACGGTTGTGGGTCGATCCATGGGTGGCACTTAATTCTTCCAGTGAAGGAAAACACATACTGTACAGAAATATGCACGGATGAATACGTTAATAAGGGGAGAGGTGTTGGATGAAAAGTCTGTTTTAATTGACTATGGTTGGTCAGCCTAAGTTGTGCAAAGATGGACCGGCGGTTGTGTACTTGATATCTGATAGGACAAGATCAGTAGGATCATCGACTTGATTGAAAAACCAGCTGCATCATAGTTCCAGAACTACCAGGGTTGCGTAGACAGCAGAAGATCCATTGAAATACAAAGTACTTCTCCAAGATTGGCAGGGACCCAACCCTGCGCTAACGCTTGGTGGTGATCCGCTAGAAGTCGTTCAGGAATTCAAGTACCTGGGCAGCTATATTACCACCCGTGGGATCGAAGATGAGGTTAGGAACCGTAGAGAAAAAGCTTGAGGTGCTTTTGCCAATCTCCGCCACCTGTGGTGCACACGCGACATCACCCTCGCCCTGAAGGGCAGAGTTTACAACGCAGCCGTCCGTGCAACTTTCCTATATGGATGTGAAACCTGGCCCATCAAGTCGACAGACATAAAGAGGCTGGTCACATTCGATCATCGCTGCCTTCGCAGCTTAGCTCATGTCTGGTGGGAACACCGCGTGAGCAATGAGCGTGTTCGACGTCGTGTATTTGATGCAGGAAGAGCGAGTGAATCGCTCAGCACCACTATATCACGCACCAGGCTCCGATGATTGGGCCACGTGTTGCGCATACTAGCACACCGACTTCCACGACGTGCATTGTTTGCCCGTTGTATGTGCGGGTGGAAGAGGAGGAGGGGAGGCCAAGCGATGACTTCGTCGAGAGAGATGAAAACCCTCACTTCGAAGTTG